CCTCCCAGTGATATGTTGAATCAGGGTATGCTGTGGTGACATTTTTAACACATCCAGGTCCAGAGATGTGTATGATTATTGTATTATTACTAAGGTGTTATACAAGTCAGTAATATGTAGGTCAGAGTAACTAACTGTAGAAATCTTCCTAAAGTGAAAATGASCAAATTGTGATTGATGTTGGTGAACTTTTTTTCCAAAATTGTCATGATATTACAAGTGCACACATCTTGTGCTCTTGTAATGTAAATTTATATATATGTGTGTGTGTGAGTGTTTGAATGTACCAGAGTTCTTTACAAAAAAGTTTATTTTATTCTCAACAGACATACCTGCAAAGAAGAAATGAAAAACGAAGAACACAGAAGATTTACCTGGAGGTTATTTAGCTGTCCTATATTTGCATTTCAATACTTCATATTGGAAAGAAAGCCTCAGATATTGGAGAATGATCTGAATAATTTTCATTTATCATCTAGAGCAGCAGAGCTCCATCTAATTGGCCAAATATATTGACAAGCAGAGCGTGAATGCATGGCACATGGCATACCATTTATTKCAGTCCAAGCAGTATTTTGCGATACATATATCGTGCATGTTGATATCAGGATGATACTAAATTTTAGATGTATTGTGCAGCCCTAGTGTCTGCGCTTTAAAACCCATAACCATGATCTCAGCCTTTTCCCTATTATAAAGCTAAATAAGGTTTCCTGCCAGCTAGTGGTTAATTTAATCAGAGCAGCTGACTAGTTTAGGGGTTTGAAGTAATCAGCAGATGATGAGATGAAAAGTTGCAGGTCATCAACATAATCATGTTATGTCTGCTGATGATAAAGCCATGGGGAATCATGTACAAGTTAAAAGTGCCCAGGAAGGAACCATGTGGGACCCCACACACTAATTGTTTTTTGTTGGAGTGGAAGTGGATTATTAATCGATTAATTGTAGCCATTGATTGACAAACCCAGTTTCTTATCATTTCCAGTAGGGTCCCATGATCTCCATGAAGCATGTGCCAAATGCATAGCTTAGGTCTAGGAGTATTAGGATGTTCCATGACAATTGATTATCAGATTGTGCAACAATGCTATAATTCATATATATGAGGTCAGATTGAGAGTAATTGTACACTTGTTTTGCTCTTTCAGAATGCAACCATTCAATTACTGGAGGAGAAAAGTATTACCCAGTGAAG